GACCAGAAACTCCTGGCTTCGGCCTGGCCCACCCCTGGTTGTTGCGGCCATTTGGAGTGGACTAGGAGATTGAAGATCGGTCCTTCTCTCTGTAATTCTGCCTTTCAAATAAATTTTAAAAAGAAAGTCCATTTTGACTCACGATGCTAGTTAGCTTTGGAACGAATTATCAAAATGTCCACACTAAACATAGGGACAGTAATTTGTGGTATAACAGGACAGAATCTGGAAGCATGTGGTAATTATCAATGTTTTTTTTTTTTTTAAGATTTTATTTATTTGAAGGCAGAGCAACATAGTGAGAGACAGAGAAAGATATCTTCTATTTGCTGGTTCACTCTTCAAATGCCCAAAAGCCAGAGCTGGGCAAGGCGCAAGCAAGGAGCCAAGAACTCAATCTGGATCTTCCACGTAGGTGGCAGGGGTTCAAGCATTTGAGTTATTATCTGGTGCTTCCCACGTGTATTAGCAGGGAGCTGGATCAGAGACAGAGCCGCCAACACTTGAACCAGCACTCTGATATGGTTTGCCACCATCCCAAAAGGTGGCTTAACCTGCTGTACCACAAAGCAGTTCCCAATTATTCATGTTTATAAATTCAAGGAACAATTAGTCTTAATGTAAACTTTATTATAAAACACTAACATTTGACTTTTATGCAAATGCTTCAATAGTTCAATATTTTTAGTCTCTTGATAAATCACATATATCTTACAATTCTAAATGTTAGTTTATTAAATCTTCTAAGTAAATTATTGGTGAAAACTGAAAATTGATTAGTAAGATGCACATAACCTTGTTTATTAATACAAAGGTACTTCAAAAACTTTGTGAAAGAACAGACTCAGGGCCAGTGTTGTAGTGTAGTGGGTTAAGCCGCTGCTCATGATGCATCCAGTCACAGAGCACCAGTTCCTGGCTGCTCTGTTTTGTTTTGTTTTTTTTTTTTTTTTTTTTTTTTCTGACAGGCAGAGTGGACAGTGAGAGAGACAGAGAGAAAGGTCTTCCTTTGCCATTGGTTCACCCTCCAATGGCCGCCGCGGCCGGTGGGCTGTGGCCGGCGCACCGCGCTGATCCGATGGCAGGAGCCAGGAGCCAGGTGCTTTTCCTGGTCTCCCATGGGGTGCAGGGCCCAAGCACTTGGGCCATCCTCCACTGCACTCCCTGGTCACAGCAGAGAGCTGGCCTGGAAGAGGGGCAACCGGGACAGAATCCGGCGCCCCAACTGGGACTAGAACCTGGTGTGCCGGCGCTGCTAGGCGGAGGATTAGCCTAGTGAGCCACGGCGCCGGCCCATGGCTGCTCTGCTTTGATAAGCTTCCCGCTAATGTGCCTGGGAAGGCAGCAGATGATGGCCCAAGTGACTGGGACCCTGTAACCCATTAGATCAGGATGGAGTTCTTGGTTCCTGGCTTCAACCTGGCCCAACCTTAGCTGTTGTGGCCATTTAGAAAATGAATGAGTAGATGGAAGATTTTTCTCTCCCCCTGCTCCCCTCTTTCTGACACTATGCCTTTCAAGTAATTTTTAAAAAATATAATTGAAAGGTTATTTTAGTGATAAAATTTGAAATCAATGTATAGTTTTTTTCTAATATGTACTTTCCATGAACTTTCTGAAGATTCCTCATGTTTATCACGGACACCAAGATGATCATGGTTAATACGAATTTAAGCATTTACATAATACTATCTAGGCACAATACTGATATATCAAATCAAAGTTTCAGAGAACCTGATATTTATGGCATCAGGTTATAAAGAAGCATTATTTTAAAACCATCTTAGATAAGCAGGTCCCAGCTGTGATTCCAGCTTTACGACCTTTGATGATTCCTGGGTGCTCATTGCATTGTAACTGCAACTCCTTAGTGTGCCCAGAGAAGCTGTTGATATTTGTTTTGTTTAGCTTATTATTGTTGTAATGAGGAGAGTAGTGACTTTCAAGTCTTTTCATTTCGGAAATGATACTTGAAAGAACTTCCACTTTGACTATGACATTGTCTAAATAAGATCGGCGTTGGAGCCTCGGGTGATTACTGACGCCATAAATAAGAGTGTCAATTGTTAAATCAACAACAGGAGTCACAGTGCATCTACTCCCCATGTAGGATCTCTGTCCTTAATGTGTTGTACTATGTGAATTAGTGGTATAACTAATACTCAAACAGTACTTTACACTTTGTGTTTCTGTGTGGGTGCAAACTGTTGAAAACCTTACTTAGTATATACTAAATTGATCTTCTGTATATAAAGATAATTAAAAATGAATTTTGATGTGAATGGGATGGGAGAGGGAGCGGGAGATGGGATGGTTGCGGGTGGGAGGGAGGTTATGGGGAGAAAAAGCTGCTATAATCCAAAAGCTGTACTTTGAAAATTTATATTTATTAAATAAAAGTTAAAAAAATAAAAAAATGTAA